GAATATTAAGATCAGAATTAAACTCAGGAGCTGAGTGTTACATAAACAATATTATACTTAGCTCAATCCTTTCTTCCATGATTCTTACTAATGAATTTGTCCAAATCGTCAAAAAAGCAATCGTTATTGTTGGGGTTGAAATTTCTTTTTTTTGTTGGGGTTGATTTTTCTAAATATGAAGAGAAAAGTGGGAGGGGGGGTACAATGATTCTAATTTCCAACAGCTGTGTAAGTAAAAGTGTTTTTTTTTGTTAAAAGATTACTTTTGATCACATAAAGAATAACATTATAACATGAAGTATCAACATTTCGTCAGCTCAAACCGGAAGTCAAACCTTTGCCTTTGCTTAATCTGATTCAATTTTTTCTGGTGCATTATATATATAGAAATATGGAAATACTAGATCCTCATAAATGGCACTGTGCGAGACCCCTCTACAGAGATCGTCAGCGAAGCGAGCTTTAATAGTAAATAATTTGGGTCCTGTTAGACCCATTATCGAATTTCCCGTATCAAAATCGGAAAAGAACCTCCAAGTTCCAATCTCGTTGGTATGACCTTCATTTATGGCTAGAATATTCTGTACTGAAAGATGGAGCATTCTGTTTTTACTGTAGGTGCTTTGGGTCACTTGGTAAGTGAATGAATATTATGCAATATTTACAACTTAATTTTCAAGCATCATAGAATTTACATAACTGGCGAAGGTAAATGAATTAATAAATAAAGTTTTAAATTAACATAATAAATTGGGATTAATAACGAACACATCCTTATACTTAAGGCTACTAGACAAAAAAGGCTTAATAAAACGAAGAAGTGATTTTTGACAGTAAATTGTCACTATTCCTACCATCTGGCAATATCCTAATAAGATTTTTCAAAACAGATATTAAGCAGCAGTTGTGACACTATCTGTACCTTCTGGCAGTCTGCTTTTTTTGGCGTGTCATACTTCAAGTTAGTATATGCTGCAATAGGCACACTTCAACCAAGCTCAGTTCATTCTATAGCAGTCTGACTGTCAGAAAACTGCTCTTTTTTCCACTCATATTTTGCCACACAAAACAATTAGCGTAATTTATTAATGTGCTAAATGTGGTATAATTTGGACTGACAACTTAACTTTAGTTGGAAGCTCAGAAGAAACATTCACAAAGACAGGCTTTCGTACATGGAAAAAAGCTTCCGGCGAAAGTGGAAAACTGATTAATCATGCTAAAACGCAAGTGCATACTGTGTCAATGGAGCGGATGCAAAACTTTAAAAGTGACAACCAAAGTATTGATGTGCAACTTGCTGGCATAGCTGAAGCTTCAAAGACAGGAAAAGAACAAGAACGAGAAGAAAATCGACGGATTGTTCAGACGATTTTTGATGTAGTCCGATATTTGGCGAAGCAAAATAGCGCATTTCGTGTACATGAAGACACAAACGATTCAGCCAATCGTGGTAACTTCCTGGAAGAACTTTTGTTTTTATCTAAGTATGATAAACCATTGAAACGTTGGATGGAAACTTGTCCACACAGTTTGTCGTATTTTTCTCCCAGTATTCAAAATGAAATTATTGGCATGCTCAGCAATATAATATGATTATTGAAATAATAAAATCCGAAGTGATTTCTGCCAAGTATTTCTCAATTGAATGTGACAAAGTAACATCCCACAAACGAGCATTCATGTCCGTTGTTGTTTGGTATGTCTACAATTTGTGTATTTGGGAAAGGTGTATCAAGCTACATCGTGTGACTAGTTTAACAGGGCAAAGCCTTGCAGCTGTTATCATTGCTATTCTTGCGAACATGAACTTTCCCATCTCCAATTTAGTTGGTAAAGGCTTTGATGGGGCAAGTAACATGTAAGGCAAGGGCGAAAGCATTCAACAACATCTCACCGCAGCTGGTGCTGATAAATCTATATGTTTCCATTGTTTTGCACACAAAAACTAAACCTTGTATTGGAGAAAAGTGTTAACAACGTACCTTCTGTGAATGATGTATTTGATATTATTGGTTCCGTCTATCATCTCGAAGGGTCTCCAAAGAGGCATGCATTATGTGAAGAGAAGCTAAAAGTTCATGGCATATCAAAGGGAAAGATAGCGCTACACACGCTTTCAGACACAAGATGCACTGCTCTATCCGACAATTCGGAGGTTGTTTTCAACACCTTGCATGCAATCATAGCGATTTTTAAAGCAATGTCTGAAGAAGGCGAATCAGCTGCAGATGGATTGTTTGTACGTATGTACTTTAAGTAGATTGGTCTCAGAATATCTTCAGCATGAAAACATGGACTTGGTCTCAGCGGTGTCAGGTGTGCAATCACTGAAGCAGCCTTTGTCCTTGTTTCGAAACGAGGAAAAGATGGATCAGTTTCTACAGGAGGCATGGAAATATTGCACGGACCAAGGATTGGTTGTGGACGACTTCGATCAGGTGGATCAGCAACGTCCAAACAGATCAAAGCATCGGCGCACAATACCTTCCTATTTCAACAATGGTACATTCTGTTTAGACCAAGACGCCAGAGCAATCCAAGAAGAAATACCTGGTAATGACCGCCCAAGAGATCTCTTCAAGCAAGATTTTTTCTTTCCATTTTTGCATTGGATTCACAATAAGATGGAGAGGAGGTTCTCTTCTAAAGCGTGTGAAATATTGTCGCTGGCTAACGTTTTTCATCCCAAATATTTTAAAGAAGAAAATTCCCACCAAGCCCAAAACCTGGCCAAATTCTACGGAATCTATCCCGATGTTGTCGTAAATCAATTCATTATGTTTTCAAAGTCTCGAGAATTTAAAGTCTGGAAGGAGAAGTACGAAGAACTGCTTAGGATGAAAGAGAAAGCTAACAATGACCCCTCGACGAAAGCACCAAGACTTGGCTTTGACTGCCAACTCTTTTAAAGGTTTTTGGAGAGAATTCCATCATCAACCTGTACCCTGATCTGTTTGAGGTGGTAAAAATTGTTGCTACTCTTCCTGCAACAGTTGCTTCATGTAAACAAGCACGTAGTAAAGTGAAGATAATAAACAACTACCTTCGAGCATTGATGTCCGATGAACGGCTTGAAAATTTAGTTCGTATCAGCATAGAAAGAGACATCGCAGATAAGATTGAGTTGGATACTCTTGTTGACATCATTAGATTAGCTAACAAGAGAAAGTTGCCCTTGTAAAAATTGTTTGTTTATAACAAAAATCGCCAGTTTGTCATAAAAATTCAGTTTGTCATAAAACTTGCCTGACAATGCGGGAAAAACTTGCTTGAAAATGTGAGAAATAGTGTTTTAGAGACTCTAGTTATAAAAATTTTCTACGGGGAGCATGCCCCTGAACATCCCTAGCGATCTCGCGCCTTCGGCGCTACAGTTGTCCCCCCCAGTCTAAACTGCCTGGCGACGCCACTGATTTCAAGGATTATAAACTGTAAGCTGTTCATTCTCACCACTGCTAGTCTTGATATTGATGATTTGTAGAGATATTATCTTTTCCCAGTGTTTATTATTAATGTCTTACTAACTGGGCATGAGCAGCATGTATTTCTAAGTAAGTAATTAATATAAACTTAAATAGTTTTTAAAATGAGTTGAATTTTTAATATTAGGTATAATGTTTTGTAAATGAATTACAGAATTAATAAATACAGTATAATATTTCATACAGTTGAGAGTATCCGAAACAATCAACATTCTGAGTGTTTATTTGACAAAGTTTCAGACCTAGCACGCAATTCAGCCTTATAGGCTGCCATGTGTTATCGTAATTAAATCTATCTATCTATCTACCTGGCCGAAAGTCCTAAGCAGCATCTATCAGGAGTAAATAATTTGTTTGATACAAGTTATATAGCAAAATTCTACAGCAATATTGGGCTGAATATCTGCGATGGAGAAGAAATTAAATAATAGAATTAATGAAGTTGTATGCAAATCTTCAAGTATGCAAATCTAGGAAAGCCGATGAATGTAATTTAGAGCTGTCATGCAATTATATAACAAGCGTAAATAATAAAAAAGACATGCTAAAAACAAAAAACATTAATCCTTAGGCAGAAGTTTGAGTACTCTACAATGGTAATTTCGGAACTAAATACAAAAATTAAACAAATTGGTTCCGTAAGTTGATAAATCGCACATACTGGATATCGTGTATCGTATTAATATTTTATTTACAAATAAAACAATTCGATTAAAAGTAAGAAAAATATTCTATAAAGACTAAATTTAAAACCCAGTTATTTATAAAGTATAAATGCGCCTAGACTATGAATATGTAATTATTACATGTTAGATCTAGATTACTCACTTCTGTGGCAATATCCAGGGCTTAAACTGTTTCCGTATAAATTTTCCATATAAATAACTTCCTGATTCTGGTTAGCAATTTTCCAATTTCAAAGCTAGTTCCCAATTTCACAGTAAAACAGATTTAATCCTTTCATAAACGCATGTCCACACCTGACTATACTATCCTGGCGCTTATTCACACGTGCATGCCTATAACAGTGTCATATGACTAAAATGTCTATTAATATATTACACAGTCCTTATTGGCTGATAATTATAAATGTTTAATATATATAAACGTTAATGAATCAGTGTTCACTGCTCGTTCATTGAAACACCCTCCCTACCTCCAAAGGATGTGGTCATTGTTGTTCTTCAGTGTATCCTTCTGCCGGATACAACAAAGCAATTTTCATTACCGGCCTGGTATACTCGGCTGGAGATGTTTTTAACTTCACGTTCCTTACCTGATCGTCTTGTCTAAGATATACTTCAATGACTCTACCCATTTCCCTTCTATTTTGCTTCCATTTTCTTTGTACAGCATTTTCTTCTACGTCGTCTTTCAGTCTGTCGTCTCTTTTGTAAAACCAGCGTCAGAAATACATCCCAAGTCCAACGTTTCCAAAAGGAATCGACCAACCTTTGGACGAACTCCACTCGTTCTCGAGGATTCCTGGTTGCTTTGAACAGACCTTGAGGCACTTCAGAGGTTGCTCGCCCCAAGCAGTACATCATATGGACACAGATAGGATCCATCAGGATTGTTTAGCACTCTGCAGATAGGCCGTTGGTTTACAAAGTTTGCACACTCTAGCAAATACGTATACAGTTCGAAGGGGGTCAATGTTTGATCTCCAATCACTTTCTTTAACGCCCTTTTGCATGTCTTCCCCATAGCTTCAGCGCTTTCATTCTGGTGTGGGGCCTTTGGGATGATAACTCCGACAAATTGGGTTCCATTGTCACTCATGACTGTTGGCTGACCTCTGATTGACATGAATCTACTGAGGAATTGTAAGAACTCCATTGTTGAACAATCCAAAGCGAGTTCCAGATTAGCTGCTCTTGTGTTGAGGCAGGTGAAGACAACTCCATAGTGTTTTGCTGTTTTATTGTGACTGATCTTAACAATCAATGGTCCAAAGTGGTCGCATGCCGTGTGGAATGGGGGTGTACAGGGTACAAGACGTAACTGTGGAAGGTCAGCCATAATCTGCGACTCAACTTTGTGTTTCATTTCTCGACAGAATACGCAACAATACTTGATCGACTTGGCGAGATCATGCACTCTTAGGATCCAATACTTTCCTTGTGTTTTCACGGTTGTCGTTGCCACTCTGTTGTGGCCAAACTTGTGTGCTTTGCACGTGATCAAGTAGGAAATCCAATGATTGTGGGGTAATAAAGCTGGATGCTTACACTCAAAGGTAACGATTGCTTCATATACTCGTCCACCAACTCTGATCACATCGTCCTCATCTTGGAATGGGCTAAGAGACTTGAACTCTCCTTTTGCTAAATGATTATTTACGCATTTTTGCGCTTCTCTGATCCAAAATACCTCAGCTTCATGCAGCTCCTGGGTGGCCAACAAGCTTGCCATGTTCAAACTTTGTACGTCATTTGTTTCTCCCCCTTTTTCTTGCGCTTCTCGACCCAGTCGTTTCATTCGGGCAGTAACTCTTATCAAACGTCTCCAACTCGAAAACTTCTTAATATTCGTCTCTTCTTCGGCTTTCGACAGTGTTAACTTGCAGACGATCTCTGCTTTACACCGCTCCGTATTCACCTCAACAAGCTCTTCTTCGGGAACAGCTGTTTTCTGTGGCAATTCTTCCGGGGAACTAAGAAACTCTGGACCATGTTTCCATCGGTCATTCAGGTCATTCTAGCAGGTACAGGTAAAAGTTACTTCAATAATGCTCTTCGGAGTCTTTTGCAAAATAAATATGCCTTTAGTGCTACCACTGGTAAACAGCTTATAACATTCACGGTGTGACTGTGCATTTCTTGTTAAAGTTACCTACCTATAGGATCAAGAAGTAATAAAGATCTAACAGGACAAAGCTTGTGTAGATTACTAGAGAATGTAAATAACATTGAATACATCATCATTGATGAGTACTCCATGCTTGGCCAAGTTACATTTGGCTGTATAGATAAGCATTGCAAACAAGCAACTGGCTATAATGAGAAAGTTTTTGGTGGGAAATCATTGATTTTAACTGGTGATTCAGGTCAATTGCCACTAGTCACAAATAAGCCTCTCTATCATGCCAACCCATCAAATGCTGTGGGTGAACAAGGTTTCAAAGCATAGCAGATTTGATGTTACGACTTAATCATTTAATCATTTAATTTACCACCATTACAGGATTATTTACAAAAGATTCCAAAAAAAACATATTAGATAGATAAATCATAGTGGCAAGGAAGCTTCAAAAGAAACTATAAGGCTTATATAAATTCAAGCTCCCTTAATGTTTACAGGGGAATATTAGATAGCTAACAAAAATAATTAACTAATATGGTGAAAACATATTAAAAATTAACGAATGATAAATAGAATAAGCTTTACCTACACCTCTAAAAGAAATTCCTGTATATAACACTTTTAAAGCAATCCTTAAAACTACATACACCTCCGCTCTTCGAAATATCTACGACATTGACATCAATTCAACCTGGCGATCAATATGTCTACGTTGCAACACCATCAGAAACTTCTTCCAACCGTCACTTGACTCATCTTGCTGTTAGATCATGATAGTATTAGATCATGTCCGTCCGTTTGTCTTTCTGTCCGTCCGTCTGTCCTTCTGTCTGTTTTCGTTTTTAAATAGAGGTGGGTGGCCTTAGCTAGGGTGTTATAGCCCTGTTGTCACCTGCCTATGTATGTGTCGTTGTTATTCATGTACATGAAGTTTTGAAATAATAAAATAATAAATAATAAGTAATAAAATAGGAAATAGAAACATTCTTTAATTGCGCACATACTAAAGTCTCGCAACACAAAACACTCAACACGTACACAAAACACATCTCATAACACAAAACACCAACACACATTAGATAATATTAGTAACTATTAATCAAGTATTTTTTAAGCTCAAACTTAAAAGAGGAAAGCGAAGTTGCGGTAGGTATATCGATGGGTAACAAGTTAAAAAGTTTAGGTCCCTGAAATCTTATTGAAAATTGTCAAATGTTATTTCTACACAGCGGTATTCTAATGGCCGTTGCATTCCTTGTATGATAGGAATGAATTTGATTATTTTGTTGGAACAATGTCAAGAAATTTTTCAGGCAAAAAACCATTCTGCTGAGAATACATGAGTTTGCCCGTTTGTAGCTAAAAAATATCATGGACTTTTAAAATAGAACATTTCCTGAATAAATGATCAGTGTGTGCATCAAATTTACATTTGTTTAAAATTCTAATTACACGTTTTTGCAATAGGTTTATGCGTCAAAGATTATGTCGGTAAGTCAAAGCCCAAACAACATTACAATATTCAATGTAAGGATAAACAATTGAATAGTATAATGTAAATAAGGAATTTTGAAGTAGCGTCCACGACTATTGGTCAGCAACTGCCCAGGGGCAGTACAAGGTGTTGACACGCTTGCATGCGAGCGCGAAAAGTCGAAAATGTCGGATGGTCTGCCAAAGGAAATACTAAAACTTCTCAGCTTTGAGCGATTTAAGAACTGTATTCGAGTAGACACTTATCACTGCCTCAAATATATCTGTCACCAAGGCGTTTCTGACAAGAAAATAATCGTCACAGCTCACTTACCCTACAAGTGTGTTCGTCTTTTGGGTAGCGCTCGAATGGCTGCCTTGGCAAAGCAAATTCCATGCAGCTTTATTCAGATTCTCAACACATTTCTGTATGTGGAACAACTGGATTTAAAGTAAAAAACAATTGCCAACGTGTTGAGGAGCGTCTTGGGGTTGTTACAAGTGATTTCAAGGCAAAATTTGTCGGGAAGAATGGAGCAGCTTACTGACAGGTTTCCCAAAAAAGAATTGAGTATATCCCTACAGATACAGGAGTTGGTGATGCTCTCAGAGTTAACTGCAGAGCTAAATGAGAAAAATTCCAGAAATGAAGACCTCCAAAAGGAGAATGGTGTCTTACAGGAGTAGTATGACACTCTAGAAGATAACAGAGCTCAAGACAAATGTAGAGAAGGCCTTTTGGTTTTCCAAAACATTTAAGTTAGATTTACAATCTGCCATTTTCAAGGATGCGCATGGTGAAAATCATACCCTGTCCTATTCTACAAATGTCAGAAAATCATATAAGGATCTAAGTGAACCAGATCAGCAGAATTAAAAAATCTGATAAATACTCACAATCAATATTATTATAAAGCAGTTAATTATATCTATAGATTAAAAGCCAACTTAAAAAGATATGTTTTCAAGGAAGATTTAAAAGTAGACAGAGAACTAATGTTACGAAGGCTTGCAGGAAGTGCATTGCAGAGAGTTTGCGCAGCTACACTGAAAGATTTATCACTGAATGATTTGCACATCTTCCCCACTGGGTGGGAAATAATACCTGAATTGGAGCGTAACGAGTAACGTACATGTTCCATTAATGAGCTCCTTAATATAGTCTGGCGCCATACCGTTAAGAGCTTTAAAAGTTAGAAGTAATATCTTACAACACAATATACACAATTGTTTTATTTTTTGCTTCTTAAGTTTCTGCTTCTGATACTGGGAATGAAACCAGCAACATCAGACTATGCTTACATCTGGTGTCTCATTGATAAATTGCAAAGGTAGGTTTGCATGAAATATTCAACTTATTCGCTCCTGAATATGACATTTGCCAACTTTTGTCAACTTTTCTAAGAGCTTTAGGAATTCAGAAAAGGTTAGCAGTGCAACCAGAATAAGTGCACAAAAGAAAGTGAAGTAAACATACATGTTGGCAAGATATAGGGTTTTCATTCTGCATAACTGTAGGATAATACATATTTGTCTACACATATACAAAACTTTTTACGTGTAGGCAAACCTAAACAGTGATGCAATATGCAGGTGTCCCAATTTTCTTATGTTGGCATGAGTAATCTTATCTATGTTAATAGCTTTGATAATTTTTAAACATTAGATATAATATGTCTAAGCCAAAAGCCTACTGGCAAGATTTGGCTAGAACTATAAGCAAGATAAAGGAGTGGGCAAGTAGCAATACATTTTCTTGCCATCACCAACCACTCATTGATATTGATATTGAGCTTGAGAATGTTGTATTGGATGAGCTTTATTTAATATTGCATGTTACAGGTCAGTTAATGTGCTAATTAGTATTAGCATGTTTCATTAATGATTGTTGGTAGAGTTTCCTGGACTTATATAAATTTAGCTCAAAGAATGAAATGTTATTACTATTATTCTTCATACAGATTAACTAAAAACCTGGTACATGATGCAACTGAATGGGATAGGAGAGAAAATTTTGATAACTCCCCATCACAGACCAGATAGCCATTTGCAGAGTCTTGTGAAATGTATTTGAAGTTGTGGAGTATCATTCAGCATGTGGGAAAAGATGGACACGGATGGCAAGTGGAGAAGACTTAATGACTTTACGAGTTTGATGGGGTCTGACAAGGTATTATTACTTCAAGCTTTGCCAGATAAGCTGCTTGGAGTAATCAGACCAGAAACATCTGAGACATTGGTCCAAGTCTGGAAGGTATAACTATAATTTGTATATATTTGTTTATCTAGAGATACTGTAGATACAGGGATGGATATATTTGAGGGTACAGGGGTATGCACCCTCCTCGTATTTTCGTATTTCGTATTTAATAATCTTTACCCAGGATAATCTTATCAGTATTTACATATATACTGCTATCACTAAGAGTCCTGCTTGATTAATGAATAAGAATACTATATTAAGTTATTAAAAGACTAAAAAGTATACTATATTTAAAAATGTTTGAAGTTAAAATAGTTTTTAATTCAGGACAATAAGAAATATTCAGCTACTTTACTTTTAAATGTGTCTAAACTGTGTAGACATTGTATTTCGATTGGGAGGCTATTATATACCACAGCTCCCATATGGTAAAATCCTTTTCTAGCTACTTCTAGTTTTAATTTGGGCAGTCGAATAACACAATTATTATTTCTAGTATTATACTCATGATTTACTAACGAAAAATAACTGTTAAAAGGTTCGTGCAAGAATTCATTAAGAGACTTAAAAACAAGGATACAAGCATGTTGTTTGATAAGATCATGAATATCTGGCAATCGGAGGGTGTTTGAAACAGTTTGTGATGGTCCAGCGATGAACAGTATCGAACGCCTTCTGCAGGTCTACAAAAACTGCCCCAGTTAGTTTGCCTTTGTCCATTTCTTGACGGATTTTATCAGTAAAATGTATGACTGCCATTTCAGTTGATCGCCTTGCACGAAAACCGTATTGCCTATTTGATAACAGACTTTTTGTGACTTCAGCTTAACATTAAAAAACATTTATGACCTCTGCCACTCGGGGGATCACAAACTTTTAACATAGAAGCGAATGTCCCATGGTCTAAATTGGATCGGACATAAATACATACCCCACCCCATATCTTCCATTGACACTTCGATCTCTTCTAACAATAACGTAACAGGGTATACAGACCTCATGATCAGCAATGCTATTGTCAAGTTTGGACTCATTAATACATAAAATGCCAATTTTTGAACAACTTAAAGTTATTTGGAGTTAATCAATGTGGGCTACAAGACTATTAATGTTAAGGCAAGCAACTACCATCTCTTGGAAAAACGAATGATTATTTACATCAGAAATCACATTAGACAAAGAGGGAAAGCAGAATCTGCCAAAATCAGTGGCAGAATATTTATTTTTCCTACTTCAAGAATAAAGCCTTCTTGGATTGATGACCAGAGATCCGTGGACTGAAGAAATATCGAATCCTGAGAATTAATAGGGAATCTGCAACTTCCCCAAACAAATCTATAGTGAAAATTGACCAGGGCCATAAGAACGATTGAATAGAAGTTTTTAAAATTGTGGTATTCTTTGGATGCCAGGTGGACACTCTATGGGTGGCAACCATCGAAGGCACCCAACAACAGGGGAACTGCCACAACTCTTCCATGTCCAAAATCTTCTTTTTAAATTCCTCCAGCGATTTTGGCATATGGTTGGATATTGCATAAATGTCCTATGAGAATCTGACATACCTCTTTGACAAAGGAACATACAGTGGAAACGCCAATTCCCACCATTTCAGCAATTGTATAGTGGTAGTCGCCTCTTCCCAATCGATACAGGCATATACCTAGCTTTAGCTCAGGAGCAATTGGGTCTTCAGTAATTGTCCTGCATTGTATATAGGGTTTAATTCGGTTTAAAATAGACATAAATGTCAGGCAAGATACTCTGAAGGTTTTCTTGAATCTAGAGTCGGTATAGGTTTCCCATACTTTTCCCCACCAACGGGTATTTTGTCCCAGCCTACGGCAAGTACGAAGGCCTCAAAGGATTGTAGTACTTCTCCTCATTACACTTAATATCATAACCAGGAAACAAATCGTTAGATTTCTTCTGTTGGTTACAAAGCGATTCATACTCAAACAGAGTAAAAGTCAACGTCTTTGGTTTTGTTTGATTAGATTTAATATAATATTTAATATAATTGCAGCGTCATATCTGAATTATCTTGATGTCTCGCCATTTCTGTCATTTTTAACTTTACCGCCAGCAGCAGTAATTCAGAATGGTATGTATGAAATGAAATTACAGAAAATTATTTTGTATAATGTAAATTGCCTCTTCTGGTATCCATCTATTTTGTTCTTTGTATAATATTTTATGCCATCACTAGACTGATATTTAATTTGCATATACAATGCAGAATAGCCTGTATTATGCAGTATATACAAATCATATCTTATCACTTTAATTTCAGGAGAAAACTCATCAATAATGCATGTCCCTCTACCGACAGTACCATCTATAATTGATGTATGTATTACATGTATATTGTTTATTCAAATTTATTATTTGTGTTTCTTAAAATTTGTTAGATTATTACTGTTTGTAAAATGTTTATATTACTGTTTATTAATGTTTGTAAAAGGTTAATAATGCCCAAAATTTCAGTAAAACTAGACAATAAAGTCCAGCTTACAAGTTTTACTCTTAATTCTCTTTTATATATTCATAGTTTCAAGGGACAAACTCGTTGTGGTGCAACGATGCAACAACTGCAGAACAGGCTTTCCACAATAACATTATCATTAATGACATTACCAAACACAGAACTTAAAGTCTTTCTTTGAAAGACGTTTTGATATCCCAGGACATGGCTATGTTACCTTCGATTCAAAATTAGTTCAGATATTTTGTGGGGATAAACTAACACACCAGCGAAAGCAACAGGTACTTATAATTTCAATTGATACAATACCTTGGTATAGTCATGGTATATTCAATTCATGGTATATTCATCTCAATGTATTTTTATGACGTTATTTTATTATAGAAGCGACCCAAAAAGAAGGCAGATGAGGTTAGAAACTTCAGTAAATTTAGTTACTTTGAATTATAATTAAATGATAAATTAATTAGGAACTCCGAACTTGACAACTACATAGTGTGTTTTTAATCACACTGCGTAACTGTCTCTACTCGCGCCAGACTACCACGCAAATGTAAATACCCTTTTTTTAGTTTGTTTTATTTGTCAAACACTATCGAACATTGTACTGGTTACGTTTGCGATCATTTACATATTAGAAGTTGTGTGATTTCAGACTAATGCGGAAAGAAATCAGTAGGATTATTATTTTTAATTTTATTAGACTCTTCTAATAGACAAAGACGGCAAGAATTAGAAGAGGGTGCAGCGGCAGCCTCGTCCCCGGCGTGTGTTTTATTTAATCGGTGATTAATCGCGTATAGTAATGTTTGTCTCGCGGGAAGACACGCACGAAGCAACAGCGTGGGGGAGAGGAGAACGCGCCTGGCAGAAAATGCATTCAAGATGGCGGAAGAAACATTCGAAGATGTATTATGCGCGATTGAAGGATTGAAAAGACCAGCACATGCAGCATTTAAGGCAGGAAAGTTTTTGTGTCCAAATAAATTGTGTGTTGAGAAGTTTTTTGAAGAGAGTGGCATTCAACATCATTATCGTTTGAAACACAATGCGGATTTCACACAGACTGACCGCCAAGAATCCGTAAGGATGCGGAGACTTTTACACGAGAAAGAAACCAAGGCATGTCTTGAGCAGTTATTCAAAGTCCGTCTTTCAAAGGTGAGTTTTTCACAAATTTTATGTCCTATTTGACGGTGATGTTCCAATGATTTGGCTATAGGAATCTCGCCAGGTTTACATACATTATAGTTATACATACATAATTTATTCATCCAATATCACAAATTCATAATTATCGTCGAGCATTCAGTAGATATTAAAATACCGAAAAAATATTTGCTGCAACTACATCTATTGAGTTTTGAATACTTAAAATTGAATGGGAAAAAATACTGTATCCTCAAGCAATCCGTCATTTTCACTTTCCCTTTTCCCATTTTACTATAGGAACACCATTCTCAAACTGTAATGTGAGAGCACTTGGCAGAAGCTTGACCTGCATTGCAATAAATGAGCGTGAAGCTGTTCAATTTATATCTTTATTGCTATATTATGGTGGAGTACTAAAACCTTATAGCAAGGCAAACCAACCTTGTGAAGTTGATGTGGAATGTGAAGCTTTAGAGGTGAAGTTCAACTGTTGGTACATAAAGAAGAAGGAAGGCTCAAGTTGTGTCACATTTAAGCTGGAAGCTTTCTATGTCAAACGGGTATGTAGATTTGTACAAATCAATGCAATCAGATTTGGAAATTTTCTTCAAACAAACTCAATAGGTCAATAAGCTGTTTATTGTGTGGCAAAAGCAAAACAATTAAAATTGCATATTAATTTACTGATATGTAATAAATCAGAACTTGTTTACAAAAATTCAACAGTTTCAATAATTAACAAATGAAACAGTCTATAAATTGTTTGCTAAAGTGATACTGGCAACTGAGACAAAAAAGAAAAAATGTTTTTAATTTAGTAATCTTTGCTTTCAGTGTATAGACACATACATGTACATGTATTACATGCATGTTCTGGTCGGTGGATTAGATTGTATTGATTAATATGTCATTTATTGACAGGGTACGTACATGTATATGTACTAGTTAGTGTATTAGATTGCATTGATTAATTAATATGTCATTTATTCAGAGGGTCTAAGATTAAACTCTGAAATTCTGCCTAGCAACACAACATTGGCAACCTGCTCTTCAGCAGGTGATGTGATGACTCCTGAATGTGAAGATCCTCTTCTGTATGTCCTGCAAAATGTTTTTCACCATGATAATTTCAAAAGTAACCAGAGAGAAATAGTTCAATCGGTATTAAACAACAAGGATGTTCTTGCTATTGTACCAACTGGTGATGGGAAGTCCATGTCTTATTGGATTCCTGGGATTGTGAATTCTGGTGTGACAGTTGTCGTTACGCCACTGATTGCTTTGTTGCATGATCAAGTGAAAACATTGAAGCACCATGGCATACCAGTCTGTTATGTGACTTCAGCCTTGGCACTAGAAGAAAGAAACTCTGTCTTCCATGAACTGACTGAAGAAAATCCAAAATACAAGTTTTTATATGTGACACCAGAGTTTGCCTTATCAATACAAGCTGCCACATGTTTTGAGTCCATGGTTGAAAACCAAACCTTGAATAGATTCGTCATTGATGAGGCACACTGTGTCAACACATGGGGGAACACTTTCCGACCGGCATATGGAAAACTTCTAGAATTGAAGAAATTCTGCAAACCTATAGCTGCATTTACTGGCACCGCTACACAACAGACTGAAGAGCATATTATAGAAGGATTGGGGCTTACAGAACCAGATGTTTTTCGAGCTTCTTGTAATAGAAGCAATCTAACATTTTCAGTAATAAAGAATGAAAAAAATTCTAAGGAAGATGTGGTGCAATACATCATGAATCACCACCAAAATCAGTGTGGCATTGTATACTGTCTTTCTACAAAGGATGTTGTTGAGATGGCATACATTTTTAAAACAAAAGGTTTGAAGGCTGTGTACTATCATGGAAAGTTAGATCATTTTGAGAAAGCAGATAATGCAAAATCTTGGTTTGATAACAAAGCTTTAATAATGTGTGCAACCAATGCATTTGGCATGGGGATTGACAAGCCAAATGTGCGGTTTGTCATCCACAACTCCTTACCTAGATCCCTTGAAGATTATTATCAGGAAGCAGGTAGAGCAGGAAGAGATGGAAGTCAATCGTCATGCGTGATCATGTTTAGATTTGCCGATAGAAACAAGCTTATACAAACTATCTCTTCAGATGAATCACCACAAGCTGAGCATGTCAAGAGTTCTTTGGACTCAGTCGTCTCCTATTGCATGTCATCAACATGTAGGAGAAAGTTGATCATGGATTATTTTCATGACAATTCCGATGTGCAGTGTGAAAAAAAGTGTGATAACTGTACTAAGCCCAACGAACCACTGAAGAACTACACCCATGATGCAGTCTCATTATGCGAGTGTGTCAAAGAAATGCAGGTTTTATCTCCTATACTAACAGCTCGACAGATAGCACTGACATTTAAAGGATCAAAATCGAAACGTGAAGTGGAACAGAAAGGTTTCCAAAATGTAGCACATTATGGAGCTGAGCGCAATGTCTTCAAAAATGATGCAGATGCTATTACATTTATTCATCACCTGATACTTAAAGATATATTGGCTGAGAAAGTTCGAACGGTTTATAGCAATTCAACTGCTCCATTTGTGACACTGGGCAGTAAAGCAGGTGATTTAAAGGATGGACTTATTCAGATCTCCCTCAATTTGTGAAATTACTCAAGCTTCTTCTTGGTTATATTACCTGTAAAGGAGTGGACTGCCAAGTTAATCTGCATCAATGGATACTCTCTCGAAAGAAAACTTTCGAAAATCCGGAAAGCAGTCGTGGAGTTTTGATTCAAATTTCTCTACAATTTTCTGTTCTCCTTTGTCTCTGACACTGATGAACATCTTTGACACAGGCTTTGGGGTATGGGACTCATTTTGCAAAGGATACTGGAAAGGGACTTTACTTCCTGACACTTCAAAAAAATCATTTTTGATACAAAACCACATGCCTTTAATTTGGTCTGGTAAAGCACTTTGTTCCTTATGCTTAGTTGTTGGATGACAATCAAAGGCTTGTTTACTTGAGTACGAACTACGAGTAGAGCCAAGTAGATTTAGATTTCCCATCAACCTTCTACACATTTGAACGGATGTGTGGCCTGAAACAAAGATTGTAAAACTTATAGCTAAACTAAGTAACTAGAACATCACTTCTCTTAAGGAGTAAAGAAGCATTACTGTAACTCTCTGTAATAATGGCGAATTTCTATTCAGTGCAAAATGTTGCGCCATGGATTTTTCGCGATCGCATGTTTTCCACCTGACTGTGCCACTTTCCTGTTTGTATTTGAAAAAAAGCGATCGCAAAAAGTCGCAAAATTTTGCAGTTTTTGCACTGAATGGAAATCCGCCTTAATATTATTTTATTAACCAGTTGCAGTGACCGTGATGATTTAGTAAATTCAGTACCTTGATCCAGTCCTAGGATTGAAATAATTTTGACCCAATTAATAATTTTAATCCAAACAATTATCCTGTTAAATATTTATTACTCACCAGTCACATACGTTTTCAGAGGTCGTACGATATACGTTTCAATGTACTCATCTAGATCCACGTTGTGGCCAGCCTTACCACTGAGACTAACAGTCGAGTTGTTTTTTATCATCTGTCTAAACGCGAGTGGCCAAAGAGCTGAGAAATTCGTTACGTGGACAAACGCTTCTGTCCAATAATTTCGGAAGCCAAGCTGGGCAAATATAGGAAGAAGTATAACCCAAACAATTTCCCTAAGATGTCTATCACCATACTTTCCCGCAACAATAAACAAAGCCAGTAGTGATCCAACTAAGGTGAACATTTGCTGGTGATACAAATGGCTTTCATCATTTTCCGCTCTATCTTTTAACCACTCTTTAAATCTTTGTAAAAGTATGTCGTTATGATTCCCAGACTTTTGCATAGATTTCTTTAACTCGTTAATAGAAGGGAAAAATTTTGATTTCTTAAATGCTGTTACTGCGGCCATTCCGTATGATTGACTGGCATCTCGAACAGCTTCTTTAATTTTCTGGAGATTTTGATCTTAAAATTTCCTCTTCTTGAATACTTCTTTTGTCAATTTGGGACGCTTCATAACAACATTAACAAGTTTTTGAAATCCACCAGTGCCATGAGCTTTAAAAGCAGCTTCACAAAGAAACCCTTTTGCATGCATATCCCCAGGGATTTCGGTACTCCAGCCAAATGCTGTAACATTTCTATTATTTACACTACGATTGTTCTTACATGTTCCGACGTCTCCGACGATTGCTGTCGGAAATTCTTTGCAATTCGATCTTTTATAGGTGAAGGCGACGGGAATGTTACTATCGCACATTTCCTCTTCCAATATCCCATCTTCTATTTGTGAGCATGGTCCGCCGTTCTGTATTATTGATACAGATGCAAATTCTAAATGTTGAGATGATACTTTGAATAGATCTATAATTTCATTTAAACCCATTTCTTCTGCCATCTCGAGTGGGCTAGGAAAGCTTCTAAACATCTCTCCTTGAAATTCAGCAAAATTTGTAACAAGGAGCTTACAAAGATTGATATTCGCATTTAACACAGCCAACGACAACGGAGTTGCCCCACAGCCTTCTTTCGCATTGGGGTTAAAACCACAGGCCAGTAAGATGTTTGCTAATGTGTACTGTTTGTTCTCAATTGCGGCATGGAGGACGGTTCTGTCAAATTTATCCTTTGTGCTGTTTAGTTCACGTCCTTTCTTAGACAAGTCATAAACAATTTTATCCAAAATGCCGTCATCACTAGAGATTACAGTTTGTTGAGCCAAATCAGTTAGCTTGTTCAATAATTTAGAAAAATTGTCATCTGCATCCACATGTTTTAATGAATCATCACTAAGACTGCTTAATTGACTGTCATCTTCAGTTTCATCCTCATCTGAGTTGCTTTCTGTGTCATAGATTGGAATGTCGAGTAATTGTATTTCCTTATCTTTTGATTGTAACTGCTTTTCAAACTCTTTCATTTCAGCATGATGTAACTGGATAGACTTCATGAAAAGGTAACGCTCCCGAGATGACTTAAGATCAAATTTTTTTTGTCTTTATCAAAGTCTATATATACGTTTTGTTTTTCATGAGGGATGGAGAATTCTTCGGCAAATTCATCTAGTATTGATGCAGTTCCAGTTAAGGTGGAGTTATCCTCTATAGATAGCGAGAGGTTGATCACATCTGTCATCTCCGTATGTTGCGAATTTTTACAAATTTCTTCAACTTTTGGTACAAGTATTCTGTAGTTGTTCTGTTTACAATCTTCAAAATTGGTATTTTGCAACCAGTTATGAATTTCAGCTTCATTCATTTCAGAGAAGCTCTTTGGTGGAGTAGGAAGATTATTTAAGGTCTTTTCTAACAATTCCAGGTAATAGCGGTCGCACCATTGATTCCACAGTAACTTGTGATCAGGCATTGAATCTAATAAGAATTAAAATTTCTTCTTAATTACAATATACTTAGGAGTTTATGATACTGTAAAGTTTAGAATAACTTTTGATCCATACAATGTTACGATTTTTTCCACTATTTTGAAAAAAATTACCTAAGAGTATATCTTTAGGTTGCAAATCGGTAATATCAACTTGAGGTTGAGTTGTTGTTTCCTTGCAAGAAAATAGATCTATGATGTCGGACAAATTTGGTATAATTGCGACACGTCCGGTAAAGTTCCACATTTTGGGACCAAGTTCTGTGAATAAACGGTCATGACGTTTCTTTCCTTGGTATATATTTATGTTGTCCATTAAAAGAATAACTGGAGTAGAATCAACACACTTCTCTTTTACTGAAGTATTCAACTGATCCAGACCTTTGTCAAGAAAAGATATTCTATTGAAAAAAAAATATTCATTTGTACAATTAACATCAATCATCCAGAACCAATTATTTTATGACTTAGCCGATATAAACTGAAAGTGAACTGGAATGATTATTCAGGGGGGGAGAATCTATTGCCTATCTTGGGGTAAGAAAGAAACAATTTTGGATTCAGGCAAGTACGGGCATCTTTACAGTTATCGTTCCAGCTTACTTAGAGAACTTTCACTGATATTTATTAGGCATTAAATCTAATTATTATATCAATGAATTTACCACATGCAAGGTATCCCAATGTGAACTTATTCCAATTGAATTTAGCATGTTGATAAATTGTTTTCCTGCTCCATATGTAATACATAATAATCCAAAAAGGAGCCGGACATCATTGGTTAACTTTTGGTTACGAACACCGAGAAGTAGCACTAGTGAATTTACTCCACACTTTAACTTGTACTCTGGAGTTTTGTGAACCCTCTTTCGTTCATCAGATATCAAGAAAGTTTGAAGAAGGCTGAAGATTAAGGGACAGCTCTCCTCAATATTCTCCAGCAGTCTTGGGAAGATTCTGTCATTGATTACACCTTCAATATCCCCATCTGCTCTTAAACCAAGGCAGCAGAAACTTTCTAGTTCTTTCAGTTCTCTCAATATTTGTTGCTTCTGTGACGATGTAACTTGATGTTCCCAATTCATTTTTTGTACCATATCAAGTTCCTTTTCATACAGTTTAACAAGCACATGATTTAAATTAATGTACTGCTCAAGCTTGCGCTGGTATCTTAAAACAGCTGTGTTAGCTTCATGAATATCATTAGCGTTTAGTTTTTCAACAACAACCTCCCATTCTTGTAGCATAAGTTTTTCAACTCCAGCTACATCCTTCTGTAATTGCTGCAGTTCATTGGAAGAATCGACAAACAATTCTTTGACAATACTTGCTGATGACAGTGGTTTTAACGAGATGTTGGTGTAAATAACTCTAAGAAAATAGTTAAAACATCAATTAACCTATAATCGAGTAGTTGAAGGTACGATATTCTATCATTGACCAATAAAATCGAGAGGGATGTGAGGACACCTTGCTGCTAGTCATATTTTTTGGCCTATGAACAATAAATTTATTTATTAAAACATTTTTGGAAAAATTCAGAATTGGCAAGAAGGTCAATTTTACACTGAAGAAAAAAAATGCACTCCTTAAATTTTTGGCAAAGAGACATGATGACATATGTTTACTAATTGGGTCATGTTCCTCCATTATCAGTTTATGTAATACCTTGCCAATAAACCATATGTACATAATTTATTGAGGGGGCGTGTGTATGTAAATTAATGATCTGACTCAACCAAAAATGGTTGTAAATGGGATATGTAGGCCATTGTAAATAGTCACATTATCACTAAGCTCTTGTTTGTAAGCTTGTAAGGATAATCTAATTAAAGATCACTTTTAGTCCTATTACCCCCTTCCTTTAAATGGCATAATAGCTGATGATCCCCCTTTTCCGTATCATATATTCTTCCTATCCACCTCTCTTTTTTACACATTCTTTATATGACTGTATATAAAGTGTATTGTTCAATTACTTACTGTTTTTTGTCATCTGAGTTTACTGTTTTTTTAGTGCAGTTTGGAAAAACAGAAGTGACATATCTAGTCAATCGATTCTTGTCAACATCTGTTAGGTCTAGTATGTTCATCAATTCCGACTGAATGACAAATGCACTAGAATCACTTGCAGCAACCACAAAATCATGAATGTCCTCCGATAACTTTCTCCTTCTCTCAGTGCATTGCCTACTTGATGGATTGCTGGTACCTGATAATAT